GCGTGACCCGTTCGAAAATTTTGACAAGCCGTTCAGTAGTTTAGGTAACCCGTTCGAAAATTTACACAAGCCGTTCGGAATATTTGATAACCCGTTAAGCCGTTCGATAGCATCCGTTCGAACGGGTGAGTTCCCCCGTTTGTTACCCGTTCGGTGGCCGTGCGTTTCACCCGTTTAACGGAAAGTCGTTAGTGTACGTTTTTCCATGAGAGATCACGATTATTTTAATTTATTTTTTTATTTATTATTATTAACATTTTCCGTCGTTCTATTTTTTCTCCTTTTTTCTTTACTTTTATACCTTCTTCTGACAAAAGTATACAATTTTCTCGTTTAGCCCAAAACATCTCCGGTTATTGAGCAGTAATCGGCATTTATGAAGCCAACTCCCGCACCGCAGTGTTTGTCTCTGTCTTGCCTTCTCCTACTTTTAAAAAACGATTAAAAAGGAGTACCTAGTATGCTCCACCATAAAACAAGCCACTTGTCCGTGAGATCTGCTACAGCTACGGTGGATCTTTAGGAAAATGTATTTCCTGAGAATATACTTTTTCTTCAGTTACGTCTTTCCTGACAAGAATGTTGTTTTTTTTTTCATTACCCTAGATGGCTGCGAAAAGCAGAGAGGTAAGAAAATCAATTTTCTTAGATACTGTGTCTCATCAATAATTGACCTAAACAAAAAAGCAAACATTCTAGATAAATTTGAAACGAATGAAAGTTTCTGACAGCTTATGTGATGTACGTAGTTCACTGCCATCTCGATTTTTAAAATTAGGAAATTATTTGCTTTTCTGGTTGCCAAGAGACAAATTTAGATCCAATGAGACCAACACCTGTATATTTGTGTACACATGTAGAGTGAAGATTCAAGTTCTTCTGATGGAGATGAAGAAGGAAAGGAGTGAGTCTATTTTGGGAGCTAGCATGTCTTCACGAAAACTTACTTATTTCCAAGAGTATCCCCTTTGTTGAAAACCAGAGTGACACCGTGGTTGATGCCCCAGCGATAATACCTGAGTTTTTAAGTACAATCTGATGCTTTGTATGGAGATTGAGTACCAAAGACAAAGCACCGGGATGTCCTTGTTTTATTGCCTAAAGGCAACGTCTCGTCATTCTTGTCGAGCACACCCCAGTTTTTAGCTACGCAGTTTAGACAACGTACCAGCATCGACACGGGTGATACGAAATATTGAACCCTGTTTCCTTATCTACTAGCACAGAATTGACACAGGTTAAAAAAAAAATAAGAAATTTGTGTTGAACAGAGAATAAGAGTTTGTACCCCATGCCCGCGGATAGTTAGATCATACTTCGAAAATTTGTTCTAAGTCGGCAGACTAAAAATGTATCTCAATTAAATACAAAACGTTGACTTTACTCGAAATAATTCTATCAGCGCCTCTAAATCCACGATTCTCCAGAAAATCCCCTCGTAAGCTTGTTTATTACAACCATTACATTCTAAATGTCACAGAACACCTCAGCCTGATCAAACAGAAGACAAACAAGGAGTACTCTTGCAAGGCAACAACAACAGGACTCCCGATGGTTTGGGAAAAGATAGTCGGGTAAGTGTTGCAGACAAGATTGTACAAGCTTTTCCAATCGAGTGCGCTCATCAAAGGTTTCTATTGACTGTTATACTACCTCAGAGGCATCAACTTAGAGTTGAGCATTACCATCGTCAAAGTCAACGCCATCGATTAGAGCGGAATGAATAACGACAAAAACACCGGTATTTCAAATGCAATGTTATCTTTTCACAGGTTAACAACAACGTAGCAGCTCAGCAGGCTCTGATGGAAGCAAAGTACGTCATATACTCCTTACTACCACCACAGACCTTGTGTAATAAACACAACCTTTCCTTCCCACAATTCCGATGAAAATGAATGCAAATAGCACAACAGATGTACTTTTAAATTTTGCAGCATCATGGAGGAAGTCCTCCAAGGATGTGTGCAGATCAGGGCCTTCAATGGGGTAAGAAATTTGAAAAAAGCACGCCAATGAAAAACTATTCTGTTCACAGTTCAAAAGAAAAGAAACAAAAGGAAAAATAAACCATGAGCTTGACCAAGCTGACCTAAATGGGATTAACTTGTCTTGTGAAAATGCAAAAAAAAAATAATGAACACAAAGGAAAAGATGTGAGTACTTGGGAAAATCTCCATTCTCATTTCCCATCTTAGATCCTGTACATGCCAGGAAAATTATTTCAAAAAAATTAATAATCAAATAAATAAATAAAAAATTGAAAAAGAGAGGCGCTTCAATTCTTTCAAACGAACTTACGAAAACTTGAGACCTGGACATCTCGGGGTTTCTGTTATCTAGAAATGGACGTCGCGACGACTAAATAACGGTACTTAACAGTGTACATTTTTCTTAGAATGACTACGAGCCATTGCCTGGTGGGACAACATCCGGGCAAAGAATTCAGCAGTGCACCGAGGACAACCTTCCTTTGGTAAGCGAAAAAAAATTAGTAAGCTTCAAATAAGAAAAGAAATGGACTTCTACTCAAATGAACGATCCGCAAACAAGAGAGCCACTGTTCCCTTTTCATTCAAACCAACTGGCTAGAAAGCAACTGTAATTCAAGACACTAATTGACTCATGCTGATCAAGTGAAAATGAAGTGGATAAGTTTATTTAAATTTACTTATATGGCTTCGAAGAGTCACTCAACCACAAATAAAACTAGAAATTGCTCTATCAAGACAGGGGAGAGGTGCGAGAACTAATAAAAACAAAGAATTCAGAGTAAAAATATCATTTTCAGAATTGGATACGACAGCAAAGAAATAAACCTTGTTATGCAGGTAAGCAACTAAAATAATTTATTCCTGTGAAAATGCAGCAAAGCAGGCCATTTTTTGGCGCAAAATATCTACTTTCTTACCTTTCTCTAATTTCATCTTTTGTAGGAACAGGAATAACGATAACCAGCTTGATGATTATATAGCCATTTTTATATTTATTATACTTCTTTTTCCTATTTAATTTTTTTTTCCCCACTTGTCAAAGACTCTTCTATCTTTAAAATAAAATTCCATTTAATGGTATGTTCATGTTCGTGCATCCTTTGGGCGGAACAAATAAAGTATAGTAAAAGCTATCATGCTTTTTGTTGACATGGATGTCTAAATCCACCAGAGTGCTCTTGCGAGGTTAAGTGACAACAGATCATCATTTCCATCATAAACTTGAAATATCGCACTCCGAACACCCTTGACCACGTCTGGTTTGTCTCTTTGGTGTTTTGATAATTCCCTCAACTCAAATGCAGTTTAAAAAAAAGACACAAGCATACAAATCAAACAAACAAATTTAAACCATTACTGTTTCTAACTGTTCGCATTACACGTTTCTCTGAGGAAAATAATTATGGGCGCCGGTAGAACTTGCCACACGATATCATCGAATTAGGTCGGAATGCTAATTATTCTTCCTCCTCCTAATTGATATCTAAGTTAATCGTACGATAAGCTGGTTTCACTTCCAATTAGTTAATAAGCGGCTAAATTCTTGAACAGTCAACCACAAGAATAAAAGTGGCACAAAAGTAAGGATCCGACCTGACGATCCATTACACTCACAAAGCCCAAGCAAGATTGCAACGGCAGCATAAGCTTTAGCCCTTTTAGAGACGTTAGCATTCCTTTGTTATGCTAAGAAAAACATTCATGTCACAGGAGACACCGAGTCATCGACGAAAAATACCAATTAAGTAGATGAATTCAAGTTCGGGGGTTTTACTGCATAAAAAAAGCTACACTTGCAGGCCAAACTTCTACTTCGACAACATTTTTTCTACTTGACAGGGATTTGTCCCAGGGAAAATTCCCGAGTGCAACAATGGAACAACTGAAAAACCAGCAACGCTCACGGAAATAGCAAGCGACTAGCAAAAGAACAAAACGTATAATACTCTTCTGGTCCTGATTAACGGATATGGTCGTATTGCCCAAAGGGCGGTACATCTGACCTGGTTGTGATCGCTGACTTCTCACTTCCCTATTATAAAATATATACTGACATTTTAGATCTCGCTTTAACAAAAACAATCGCCCACTCAATAATTAAATTTTTCCATAAGAAGTAGTTTCAGTTTCCGGATGAAGTCATCGGAAATTACATCAAAATTACTTGGGCATTTGAGACCGCGTCAACCTTACCGTATTTACGACATCACAGGCTTTCACGTACAGTTTATTCTCCTTGTGGAAAAGGAAACATCATCGAATGTTATATTAATACCACATTGAAATGCTTAAAAAAATCATCTTAAACTGGGTCCTTAAATGTCGTTATAAACAAGTTTGACAGAATATGCCCAGACTTGTAACTTCTATTTCTTTCCACGTTGGGCTTTTTCCCTAGTTTGCACAGAAAAAAAAGTTCCCGTATAAAGGATCTAGGAAACTGGCACGAAATCACCTTCTCTAAGTAGAGCTCTGAGAAGACAAGTTGTGTAGCAGATAGTAAGCGGAATGCGTTGTAAACTGCATTCGATCAAGTGCAGCGACAAGGGACAGAGGAAGGTTTGCTGACAACATCACACAAAATGTATTTTCAATCCCAGTGCTACACAGCATATGTAAATTGAACTGCAGGCAAATTTTCTATCCCGCTTAAAGCACGACGAACATACTTACGACGACATATAAACTAAAACAAGGCTTTCGATTAGTATAGAAGTTAAAAGTAATGAGATCAAGTACTTTGAGATGAACAGAATTTCCTCCCTGTGTGACACGCAATCTCATTACCTTTCTACTGCTAACTGTGGTAATTCCATGTCATGTCATACGTACTCTAAAGAGACCAAGCACCGCCGCGTGAGTATAAGGTGGCACGGGCGAGAAAAGTACAAGTACAGTCCTGACAATAGACAGGATGGATGCATCCTTTCAGTGAGATCGCAACTAGATGATGGAGGGATGGTTTGGGAGATGGATGGCATATATGCGTTTGCTTTCTCGTGTAATCAGTATTCCAGGATTTCTTTACTATGGTTTGGTTGTACATGGCCGAAGCTCGAGGGATAGCCAAAGTAAGTCTACTTAAGCTTTGTTTGTCTTTCAAGTAAGATATTTGACCTCAAATTTGAAGAAAAAAAAGACGAACTGTCCAGTGGAAAACCAATCACCATTCGAAATGTTACCTTTAGTCGCTTATCCATTATGCAGGTAAAACTGCATCTATTTAATCTCACTAGTGGATTCCTGTCATAGGCTACTTTCAAAGACTCACGTTCAAAATGCCGAGTCGAGATAACTGAAGGATATACCATAGAAAATGCATTCATCGCTTCGTGCCGCGTCGGTCCTCGTAATCATCAAGACTACTCTCGGGTAGCAAATAACGGTTAATTTGGCATGAAAAGATACAGGCATCCAAAATACACAGTATTTTTCTCAAAAAAGAAAACTGAAAATCTGCACAAGTCTCCAAGTTTGCACGGCCTATTCGGACACGCTGAGGCGTTCTAGCGTGTTTAAGGGTCCAAACGTAAATTTAAAAGCTATCTCATGGACGCAGCCATAATAACGGTTTACGAGCGGGTCATTATTACCTTTAGCTGTCAAAAAACGGACATGAAGCCGAATCAAATCATTACACGATTGCATCCCAGGTGACACAACGCAAACTTAAAAAAAAAAAAAAAACTACAGGCAACCCTTAAACTGATTGACAGGTGCGACCACGCATTTACCAGGCCAGTGCATGATTCCCTTGCTTTATACTTGGTAATTTTATTTCCACTTGATACTTCACAGGGGTTCCTGTTTTTCTTTCAGATTTTGCTATCAAGCGCTGTTGTGTAACACAAAGGATAACCAACAGTGACTCTTCGAACTAAGACATCATGATGATTGTACAACTATGTCTAGGGTTTGCAGCATTACATGGCATACTTTGCTTAAGAACCTGGCATGACTACAAAAGTCAGGGTAAGAGAAATATTGATACAATATATACTTCACCTCACATGCATCCTCTTCCAACAGTTCGAAAAATTAAACGATGGCCAAAACATAATTTTCACACCTATTAGCAAGTTTCACAGAGAAAAAATCGGACACATTTACGACCGTTTTGATAATTTCAATAGACCGTAACATTAACTGAAAACTGTCCATCAAAACTCAGCCAATCGTGAGTAGATTAAAAGCGCCTGCGCCAAGGACCCCAGTGCACGTGGTTCCAAAGCTTCCCCTGTTCAGATAGTAAACCGCTCACGCAAACAGAGCGTCTTAATTCAAACAGAGCTTAATTCAAACCGCAGCTAAGGTAAGAAAAATTTCCATTTTAGCCATCCATTATTCAATAGTTCGCGAATCTTGCAGCCTTACGGCCCGTGTGAAAAAGAATACCACGGGGAAAGTAAGGAAGTACGGTCGTCGCATCATAAGAGTCAGCGATATTTGGCGGTATCCTTGGCCCTATAAAATGCATAAAACGTCGGGAGAAACATTTGCGTGAACACTGTGAAGTTAGAGAAGTGTTAAAAACCATCAACATCGCTTAGACTTACCCTATATCGCGTAAAAACGAAGCCGGGAGAAATGATTAGATATTAAATTTACAGGTATCCTCCAAAACTTTCGCCTTGACCCAAGCCGCCATTACGTGGCCATTACGTGATTGACCAGTGCGTCAACAGTCAAGGAAATCGAAGCCACAATTAAGAAACTTGAGTATAATGACCACAATCATAACTACATGTCTGAGAATTGCTTATTTCTACGTTCAGCAAATATATTGAGTCAAGACAATGATGCAGGATTGCCAAGGTAGACACGTGATTCATGCCGCAATAAATCCCTGGAATGGCAGAACATACTCTGTCATTTGAACTAATTTGAACTCGTTTCTGACAAGCTAGTGAAAAATTCAAAGTATTACGAAGACAGTGAAAACGAGAATACCACCAGATTCACTCTAACGAAAAGACAGCAAAATGATTGACACACCCGGTAGCGTGAACGATGATCCTTGGAAATTTGCATATTGACGAAATTGTGGGCACAAATTAACCCTGTTTTTTTGTGTGTGATGCTGCAGAACTTTCAAAGGAGTAACGTCGATGGCCAACACTAACAGAAATGCTTACGTAAGTGTTAAGTGTGTACCAAATGTCGAGAAACTTTTTAAAAGTTGCCCACATAAACAACACGTAAATTCCACAAAAATGTTTTTTTTAAGACAATATAAGTTAATTCTTTCATAACGAAAAATCCCATTATACCCCAAGCTTTTCCTAACTGCAGAACCTACATGTAAATGTATCTCCTGGGCCCCGCAAGCAATCGAAATAGCTGCAAATCAAATATTACCCATATGAGAGGTTGAGGTCAAATCTTGCATGACAATCTTTGATTTCAAGACACGTACGTTTACGAGTAGAAAGATACTTGTGGCAGAAGCAACCGTTTGAATTCTCGTATTGGTACCAGAAATAAACTGAAAGTTAAATTGGTGTTATTTTAACATGTACCACTTCAAAAAGTTTTTTTTTTTATATATATATATATATATCATAGGCTAACCTCTATTCATTTCATTTCTGTAAGAGGTTAATCAGCTTCCAAGCATGATAAGTTCATGTTCATTTTCTTGAACATAGCGACTAACATGTACCCTATTTTTTTTCCTTCAGGTCCAATACAGGTTTATGGCCTTTTATTTGTAAGTTAATTACTCTTCTCTGCATGATGCATGCCACACACTTGAATGCATAATTGTGTGCCCCAAATAGTTTTCCAATGGTAATAAATTATCATTCTTTCGTATATAGATGTGCAGTTAGCTTTAAATAATTGTTTGAGATGACTATAGAAGGTAGGCTGTAAGTAGTTACAAGAAAATACAAGCACACAATGATTACAGTCAAGTGGACATGTCTAGAGGTAAACAAACGTTGATTTTTTTGCCCGTTTGCCCTAGAAGAATTCATTACAGTGAGACCTCTATTAAGCAGACCCCACATGATGCCTACACCATTTCTAAACGGCATCCTGATCCCAATTTTTACACCCATGTTCATTATAAATTAACCAGGAAAAGATAGACAGTTAAATCAAGCAGATGGGCACTAAAAATGGAGGAGATTCCAGAAAAATCTAAAGTTTCTTTTACCATCATTTAATGTAGGAGTAGACTATTGTACTATGACTGGCACCAAATTACCTGGACACCACTTTACTGCTACATGTGTTTATGACCATTCACTTTGGTAACTTTAGACCTGGTAGTCATCGTTACGTCAAAATGTACATGCTCATGTAATAAGTTTATAGGAAAATTCATACCACAGGCACACAATTTAGAACATAACAGCTGACTGTAAACTGGCCATACATCTGGCAATTACACTCACCCATTTCTTGCATAATTCATTATAGTGATGACATGGCATTCACCTTGTCCCAAATTCCGATTCAGGACCTGGAGGTAAGAAGAAAAACTAATTATGCAGTATTTCCAAGAAAAAGTGGTCCACTCAAAATTCAATTATTACGTCTCTCATCTCTTTCTGTTCAAATTTGCAATATTTGGCCACTTAAATAAGTCATCTCTGTCATCTAGCTCTCAATCTGTCAAACTTACAGAAAGTGAATGCAAATATTGACACAATCAAGCAAAATACATTTCTGTATAAACAAAGAAGGTATAATAACTATTATTTTTAATATAACAGGCAATATAATCATTTTTGTACAGCACTAAATTATAATTTCCTTTTTACAGATGCCTGCTGAAACAACAAATATCCATGTGAGGTAAATGATGAGAATTACAATGATAATCAGAAAAATGTTGGAATAATCATGGCGCCTTGTGCATTACTCGTCATGACTCTAATTACTATACTGTACATACTTGTAAACAACACATATTTACCAAAAGAAGATACTGAGAACATTTATATCACTGATTATCCAATACCAGTTACACCTATGTAGCTTGTTGTCATTAGTATAAAGTCATTTCTTGGAAGCACCAACTTTGGTTTAGAAACGGAGGTTTCTGAGAATGTCAACATTACTGATTACCCTTCACCAGTTATGAACATGTGATTTGTTAACATAGCCAAATAGATATCTTTGTGGGCGACTGGCTAATTGTACACTTAATCCTAGAGCTACTTTGGACAATATAAAGCTATTAATATAGTATGCAGATACATACTGTATTATAACTATCCCCTCCCATTAAGGTGGCTGAACACAGTTTTTGCGCGCGCTTTTGCTGATGCAGTTCAGCGCACGCACAGGGATTACAAAACACAAACATGCCGTCAGTAGAGTGGTCATTTTATTTACTTAACACGTACCTGCACTATCTCTGCTATTTTTCTCTATAGTTGGCGCAGTGTAATGAAGGCTTTAACCTTTTATTACAAAGATATGTAAGAAAAGTTAATGGTGCAAAGAACCCAACAATTCTCAGCTTTTTTGTTGTTACCGAAAGAAACCAGTTAAATGCATGCGTAGTAAGTCAAAAATTGCGATTGAATGGAAAATGAGAACCACTCGCTAGAATTTCATGAAATTTGGCTCAAAAATACTTTAGGAAATAACTGGAGTATTGAAAAAAAAATTGATTTTAACAAAGGAAATTCTAGAAAATCGAGTGAACCTTCAACAATGGACAATGGAAGATCACTCTATTAAATTGTTATCAAAATGGTGTTAGCATGTGAGTATCGTTACAAGCTCATTGCATGCAAATTATAAAGAAAATCTAATGACTAGATTTTCTACAAAGAAACAAAACCGATTTTAATTGCCTATTTATATCTATTCATGTCGCCATGGCAATGGCACATAAGTCAGCTTAACTATCAAAAAAACAAAGGCTGTGTTGTTAACTTGCTGCTGCCAGTTTTGGCGACCGAGAGATCAAGGGTTTTGGAGAAAATGGTGAAAGAAACAAAGGTATCAAAAACTGTGTTCAGCCACCTTAACGTCACTTACAGAAATGAAGACACCCTTCATATCTTAGACTTTCACCATGACTGGCTAAACTTTGCAAGAAACTCAAAGGAAATGTTGATTTGGAAATGATTAATTTTAATATTTTATAAAATTAAGTGCAGTTATCTGTATTCATAATTCTCTTGAAAACCAGGTTATTTTCCCTGCAAAATGACATGCTTCTATAGATCAAAATTTCAATTACCTGTGCATCTCTACCAAAAACAACCGACAATTTCTGTACATTGAAAAAATACAACAATGCACATCATACTTGTGGGAGTACCCCATGTGTCTTGAGGCCTATTTTTCTATTCTATTTGCTCACAAGTAAATCCAAAATTGAATCAGACAAGAAATGTTTATCTTTAAAGGGAAATCCTATGTAACAATTACATAGCCATTTACCAGAAAATTTTTCGAGTTGATTTTTATTTGTAGTTGAAACATGTTTGTTCATAATGAAATTAATGAATGTGCATTTAGTTGTTAAATAAGATATCTAGTTTAGACAAGGAAGGAAAAGAATCTCAAAGTAGATGCAACAAAGACAATAACATTAGGAGTTACAATACCAACTTTAGCATTTTAGATGGAAGATCAAAATCATTACTCTTATACTCATTTTGTGAATTTATTTACAGCAGCATGTCAGAATATGTTCCTAACCAGAGGCACTTCATTAATTTCCATGGCAATATGCAGGCAATCCATGGCAACATACCAGAAAATCATGACAACATGCAAGCAATTCACGGCAACATGCAAGCAATTCATAATATGCCACCAATTAATGGCAATATACAAGCCATCTATGCCAATATGCAAGCAATACATGTATACAATGACTGGCAAGTTAATCTATTGGACAGAATGGTAAGTACCACATAACCATGGCTAACACATAAATGATATATACACAAATGACGAACAGACCCCCATGTTAACTGAATTTAGAGACTACCATAGTGAGATCTGAATGTGCCAGGATCATATATATTTTTTTTAAATAAATGGTACATAAATTTTCCAGGAATTGTTTGCATTTACATATTTCCTAAATGACTGAGGTTTGAGAACAGAGTTTCTCTTTGTCTTTCTTTGTCAAACTTGTTCTTAAAAATTCAGTAATAAAAAGTTAAACGGAAAATATGGAATTCTAAAAATAACCAACATTCATGTCTCTCTGCAAAATGCATGTTATTTCCCATCTGTTGACAATTTTCCATTCAACATCAAAAAACAATACAAGATTGCAATGGTTGCTTCACAACTATAACTCCAGTCAAGGCTTAGCCACCTATTTGATAAAGTGCCCTAGTTACTCACATGTAAATGGACCTTGAAAAGGGGTGCTTATTCAATGCGAGCCCTTATTAGAGGCTTGGCAGTTGTTAGATTTTCTCCATATTCTGAAAGTAGCAGGTTTGTTTTGCAACGACACTCCTCTTATGCACTACAGTTTTTTTTTGGGGGGGAGGGGGGTGGTGGGGGTGTTTACTCAAGGCTGGGTGCTTATGAACTTTTCCAACTTACAGGGTGGGCACTTAATCAAGGTGGGCACCTAATCAAGGTGGGCACTTAATCAAGGTGGACACTTACAGGAGGTTTTGTGTTAAATGTAATAAATGTTAGTTGTATTATCCCTTGCTTCAAGCAGTTTTTTGTTTAATCTAATACTAGTTCTTCAAGGCTCACCTTAGTTTAAGTTTTGACAATCAATCGAAAATTGCTTTACTTTTTAAAAGTTATACCAACTTGGATAAATCAAGGCTATTTTGAGGCAACAAGGTAAATGTACTTGTGAAGGCACATGTATGGCTATAAAACTATTTTGTACCCAAAACTAGCTTTTTCTTTAATTTACAACAGGGAGGTGAAGAACTATGAAAGACCCTGCCTCATCAAAGACTGTTGTATTATAAATGTTGTGTTATATTTAAAAGAATAACTTGTAAGATACTCAGTTTAGATAGTAGAGCACAGATGGTAGATTTATCTACTTACATATCTACTTATTTATCTACTGATACATATATGCACATTCAAGAGTGACCAGTTAAACTGAAACAACCGTGTGTTCAAGTGTTTGTCATTGGAAGAAAACAAGAGTTGAGTGAAATGGAAAAACTTCACATGAACTCTAGAATATTTCCAAACTCTTTATTTTCATGCTTTTGTTTTGGAAAGAAAGATAACAAACATATCTTTTGATTTAGCGAGGTTCAATCATCAATCCAGCCATCTACACACATGTAGGGGGCTTGGAACTTGCTGAGCTTCAAAATGGCAAAGCTTGTGGGCAGTGTAATCTTTAGTTTTTTCACTGATGGTAACATACACCTTGGCAAAGTTTTGTGTTAATTTTCATTTAATTGATTAGTGGAAATGCTCTTGTCCCTTGAGCAAGTCCTGTCATCACAATGAAATTTCATATTGCCCTGAACAGCATTACTAAGATTTGTAGCCTAGATTTGTGCAGTATATTATACAGTTGCTCCAAGTTATAAAATTCAAATAATTTTTCGTGTGTGTCAAAAGCTGGTCGTAATATCTTCAAGTTAACCTTCGCGTATTAGTACATGTATGCCCACACCGATTAAGTCAAAACGTGACAACAATGTGCAAAAATGATCGTACCGGCTTTTTCGCAACCGTTCTAAATTACAAGCGTATGAAAACGAAATTAAATTGTGATTTACCGAAAGCTTGAGCAGTTGCAATAAACAGATGTCGACACTGAAGGAAACAATGATTTTCTTCACTGTCAGAATAAAAATTAGGGAAAAGAAACTGTTAAAAAAACAAAGCTAGTTGAAGACACAATCTCTCGTTCTCTTACCTCTTGTATCGAGTAAAATAAATTACACTATTTGCTCACCAACATTCCAGTAAACGCGCCTTCACAGATACATGCTTGAAGTTCGTGCATGCGCATTGAGACCCGCAGACTGGGAACCAGTGCAGCTCACCGAGCGAAAGAGTACCTGAGTATGGCCAGTCGAAGAATAAAGACTGATAGTTTCGAAAGAAACTGTTTGGGGCTGCGTCGGTGGGAGTAACGAAATAATTTGGATATATCAACAAAGTTGAAATGGTAAATTAGCCACCGTAATGATTACAAAAGCTGACGTTTCGAGCGTTAGCCCTTCGTCGGAGCGAATAGAGGAATTGTGGGTTGTGTGTGCTTTTAAAGGCAGAAAATGGAGCTACGTTATTGGTGGGAGCATGGCAACGAGAAAAACATGAATAAATTAGTGGAATGAAAAGCGTTCGTTGATCCCTGTGGGATTTAGACTGCCGGTTTGAAAGATGAGCTTTTGTTCAAGATTTTTACGGCTTTCCGTGCCACCTAAGTGCAAGGAAAGACCGCAGATTGCCATAGAGACAAGCACTATCTTTTGTCTCTATCCAGAGACAAGCACTATCTTTTCGCAGCCTCCGCTCATTTCATTCAAACGCGACAAAAACATAGGCAATTTTTTGGTCTGAAGTTCTTTTTAG